ATATTGCATGAATAAAATCAGAGCTATTATCCATGTGCTTTTGATATTAAATATTAATACTGTTTAGACATGGCTCATTTAAATTTTAAATTGTACATAAGAGTATGCAAATTACGGCTTAATTTTTGTTTATTATCATATTAGTAATTATCACATATTTGATTTTCGTAGCACTCGTTGCCTGAATTCACTTTGCATAACAATCGCATTGTTTTAATACTAATAATATATTAATGTTCTTATATTAGTTTTAGTATTTGTGGCTTGTGGTTAAGCCCAAACTTAAAGGGCTATTAAATATATATTTATTGCCATGTGCTCAATTCGCAAGGGACAGCTTAAGCAATTAAATATTCGCAAAAATAGTCCGTTTTAAGTGTAGACTTATGCATTTTATTATCTGCATGTCTTTCGACAAGTTTGGCAGCATTCAAGCACAAGTTTTTTTTTTGTTTTTTCCTGTTCCCAAAAACAAATTTCCGTCAGTGTTTGCCAAGTTTTCAAGTATCTACACAATAGAAGCACAAAGGCCTCTCGAACTCCTTTCAATAACGGAGAGCTCAAGAAATAAATATAAATACATAAATATTATGGAGACGCACCCCACACTTGGCCCCACAAAGGAAATACAATATAAAATATGGTAAATAAATGGCGAATGCTTTCTGGTTGCGGCTTTTTGACACATATGTAGAGCGGAGGGGAAAGGCGCAAAAGTGATGGCAAGGCGCCTTGGATTTGCATTTAGTAATTGAATTTTGTTTTGCAATTTATTTTTAGCTATACTCATGCCAAAAGCAAAAAAAAATAAAAAATATATATATACATATATAAATACATATTTATATATGTATATAGTACCTTGGAGTAAAAAACAGGAAACAAGTGTTGCCTTTGAAGAATGCTTTTGAGTTAAATCGACTGGCACTTGAGTTAAGTGTTGTGAATTTTTGAAGATGAATTAATGGAAAATGAATCATTTATGTAAAATGAGGTTAAATTAAATCAATGTTCATACAAAGCGATCAACATACCATTGAACCCTTATGGCAAAAGTCTGTTTCCCAAATACATACACATGCATATATAAAATATATTATTAAGCTAAAGAGGTAGTAAAGTTTGAGTTTATTTTACAGAAAATGTTAGAAAATGTATTGTGGATTATAGATGTTATATATAATCAAATATGAATTTAAAACTCTGCAGGTTTTTATAATTTTTAACTTAGAGTCTTCCATTACATTATCATAGCTTAGTTAGTATCCGTGTGGTAAATTGTTGAAATGAAATTCCTTATTAAAACTTTCATGGTGTTTAATTTTGTTGCGCAGTGAAAAACTTAATAGAGCCAGGTAACTTGGTTTAGTGCTGGCGCTTTGTGCAGTAATATTAACTCGAGTTATCTACTTATTTTTACCAATTTACACGATTTTTATTATGGCCAGCACAGCAAGATATAAAACTAAACACGTCCAGTTTCAGGCGCAGCCTTGGCTTGAGTATCTGTAACTTATCCTGGACACGCAGTGCAGGCCGAGCATTTTGTTAGCCCGTTGCACTTTTCAAAACGTGTTGCAATTTGTGCTAAGAGCAGTTCGCTTTTACGATGCCCTTCCCATAAACAAAATCACACGCACACTCGCCACACACACACACACACACATGTCTTGGATACTGAAGGATGATTTTAACGATAATGGGAGAATACTTGACGTGGGTCAATTGAATGTTGGGCAGCTCGTTAAAAAGGCGCTGCGCATGGCCTGTGTCAACTTTAAACAACAGTAAGTCATATTTACGGCATGGGTTTCAAAAGGATAGCGTCGGGAAGTGTTAAAGCCATCCGTGGATCAGAGCGTAGAATAAAACAGAGCACAGAAGAGCTAAAAGATAATAAAAAGTTGCCGCAGCTCATGATAATAAAACGTACAATGCTCATGGCACGTGCTTCCTCAAATGGACACGCAGCCTGGACACGAACCCCGGACACGGTATGCTTAGCTGCTGGCTGTTGACATTCCTATGTCTTTTTGTTTTTTTGTTTTTTTTTTTTATCTCCCAAATAGATTTCAAGCAGTCCAGCTATGTGTGCAATGGCATCGCCTTGAAACGCCCGCAGCAATTTGTTGCTGAATGATGTGTGAAGGACATAAAAATGCTCAGTGTGCAACGAGAGAGGAGTGCGTTTGCGAGTGCGATTGGGAGTGAGATTGGAAGTGCGATTGCGAGTGATGATGGCAACAGGGATGCTGATAAACTAGACAACGGGGGGCAACAAATAGTCAGCGTTACCCTTGTTAAACGTGTTGATGCTTCATACTAAGAACACCCTGGCGCTGACAGCCAAATACTGATTGGCGTCTAGGGAATGTTAAAGAGATCTTTTCAAATTTTGAAGTCCACTTAGAAGTTTGCGATTTATGCGTCACCATTTAAATATATCAGTATTTGTGTGTAAGAATTAATTAAGCATATATATTTAGGGCTCTAGCTAAGCAGGTGAATTTATATTTTAACTATTTTAATTGGCTAATTTGAGTTTCTGCTTACAAGTTGAGCTATGCAGATGCATAAGAGGGCGAGTTACACTGTTGTTATATTATTTATTCCACAAAAACAATGTTTACAACTTCCAATTATATTTATGTTAGTTTATTCAAAATGAACACATCAGTAAAATATGCTGTGACTTTGCAAACTGAACACTTGCAAGGCTAATCTAAGCTTTTCTACACTCGTTTGAATCATCAAATCAATCCTCCTTCTCCTCATCCTGCAGGCATTTCAGCTTAAGATATATATGCATTTCTGATTGCTAAGAAATAAATAAGGAATTAAAATGTCTGTGATTGTACTTTGCTTCACAGATTGCAAGTCTGTATATTGTTTTCATATTTTAAAATATTAGAATTTAATTGAGCTCTGGCCAGCTTAAACCAAAATCTGAATATATTTGCAATTTGATTTTCAATTATTTGTTGTCACTTTGAATGGCATATGTTAAGAAAAAATACGACTGCAAATCCATTTTTGTTTCACTGCACTTTTCAATTTCCCTGCTTGGTAACTTTACACACACAAACACACAAACACACAAACACACACACACACACACACACCCACAACGCCACTCGACGTCTTGTTTACAACGAATTGAAGCCTGGAAAGAAAACTTTTGCCATGTTTGCTGCACTGTCTTCATGCTCTTGTGCGTCTTCATGCATTTTGTACATTGCGGGCAGACAAGGCGTATGAATAATTAAATATGCAGACTCACATACGCTTACAGGCACACACATACACATACACACGTTGAGCCTCTCATACTTGATGCAGCACTTTGTTGTTATGCTCAACTACTTTTTGTTTTAATGCCTTTCCGCCTGCGGGCTTTGTTTGGGTTCGGTATGGCTTTTTCATTATTTCATCATTTGCATTTCTCATTTGTTTTTGCCGCCTCACTCCCACCTCGGGCTCCTCACGAGCATTGCAGCATTTCAGTAATTTCAACATATTTAATGAGTCCGACTTTGTATTTTCTTTACTGAGAAGTACAAATATCTGAAGCTTGTTTAAGTTTCACTTACGTATTAGTGTCGATTATTTTTGAAAAGCCCTACTATATTTCTCTAGGTAATTATTATGTTACTTTATGTAGGGTTCGCTTTCGAATAAAAGTAAATGTCACAGCATTTCTTTATATTTCTGGGATATATAAATGAATAAATAGAAAATAAAGACTTACAACGACTATGTTGCTAAAATCGAAATACAGGTTATGGAAAAGTACATTGAAATTTTTGTTCACCTTTGGCAAACTCATCTAATTGTTCGCATAGAGTTTGCATGAATTCCGAATCCTTTTGTTGTTAACGTGTGCCGTTTGCTTTGTATGCTGAACGCAGCATTGAAAATTTGCACAACAAAAATCTCCATAATAAAAAAAATGTTCGAGGGAAGAAAAAACGAAAAATAAACGATTTTGAAGAGTTCATGCAAATAAAGCTCGGGGAGAAAAGGAACCCTAACAAGATTTGCTAACAAAGCAAAGGGCAAAACCAAGAACAGTTGACTACGTGTTTGGCGTCAAAATGGCCGAAAAACAACTGAGGGTGCCAACAATGGCGAAGAGGGGCGAAAAATTAAGGCAAAATGCGTCGCTCATCGTTAATATTAACTTTTCTGCTCACTTTCCTTCTGCAGAAAACTTTCGCCAAAAGTTACGCGCCGCCCATTTTTTATGCTTTACATACTTTCCAATCCAACGAGAAATCCAAAAAAAAAAAAAAAGCAAAATAAAACGTAAATAACAGGAGACAATGTGCTTGTTAATGGGCAAATGTTTTCTTTTGTGCTGTTACCAATTTTCTGTTTCTGTTTATTTTGCAGGTCATGCATAAAATATTAAATTATTAGTTGTAAAGAGCAGCCAACAAGACTAGCAGCGCGTGGGGATCTAATATTCCGCAGTTATTTTTGTTGCCGAATAACATGAGGTGTTGCATGCAACCACAAATAAATTAATGGAATTTTATGGTAATTTCCAAAAGGTAAGCCGCTCTGAATATGAAAAAGCTTTTGCAAAATAACTATATCAGACAGATACATTTAATTAAAACTGTTTATATTTACAGTCAAACGGTTCATTATTAACTTTTCACGTAATTATTTGCACTGGCAAATACTCTGAGCCCATGGTATTTTTATGTATCACGATTTTTAACCAATTGCTTATACATATTTGATTTATAGTCATCCGATAAAGAGTTCAGGAAAGTGTGGTGTCTTTTTTTTTTAAATCCACAATAAATGTGCAACTTTCAAATTTAATTTAAATTTAAGCAGAGCTCGCTCGTAGAGCTATCTCGTAGAAGTCACTGGGCAAATAAAATTAAAAAACGACGCCAAATGAGAAATAAAATTCAACGCCGCAAATGGCATCAAAAAACCAAAAAATAAATTAATAATAATAAAATGAATATAATATAAAATACCATGCAAAAAACGACAGGCGTAGTGGCAAGCAAGCAGACAATTTGATTAAGTGCCATGCAATTGAGTCCGATTACAAGTACGAGTCCAACTCCCATTTTAAGCATCACTTTGAGTAAGCGTAGTCTCAGGGGCAGCTAAGTTGTTGTTTTATTACTCTAGTTGCCCAGTGCTAAGGTATTCAATTTGATTAGTTGCCGTATGTGGTATGGAGTCTGTTGAGTATTCCGGCTGCAGACTTGTATTTCGGTAAATTAGAAACGTGCCATCCAACACAATAAAGTCAAATCCACGGCCAACCAATATTTTTAGCTGCAACAAAAAAGAGAAGAGATTTTAAATCAATCTTTTTATTTTTCGGTCAGCTTTTTTTTTTAAATTATAAGTAAAATGAGATCCTAAGCGAAATTTATTACCTTCGTTGAATTAACTTCATAAGTGGACTGATCATAGGCGTTGCTACTGACATAGACAGCACAGTTATCGGTATCCTGGGTCACCCTGTATATAGTCATATCGCCATCCCGTATCGGAGCTTGTAACCAAGAGCGCCACTTATCGAGTTGCTCCAGTTTAGTTTTAGGAAGCCAGACTCTATTTTGTAGATAGGGCTGTAATTGGGTGCAAAGCTGCGATTTGTACTTGGGCAGCGATAAGTCATCGCCGATTTGTGGGAAGACGGGAATGCAGTAGACGCTGATTGTAGATTTTGGAAGATTATAAAGAACAGTAGACTCACGAATATTTGTCATCACCTCTTAAGTGGTTTTTCCGGGTAATATAGATGAACGAACTGAAGGAAAGTTTTGATGAAATGCTTTGTGGGCAGCATGCCCGGCTCCACGGGAAGTACATAAAATGTTTCCGCATTTAGGCGTGCCACATGCCTTAATAGATGCAGCGGATAGGTGATATTATTGTGAAAATTGCTTAAGGCTGAGATATGCACCTCCTCCTTGCAACGCAGGCCGTTAGGATGACTGCCATATATGCCATGGAAAATGTGTGGCATATGCTTGTCGGAGAAGACCAACTGTAGGGATACGTAATGGGTCCAGCTCAATGAGTCAGATGTGCAATATTTAATATAGTAGAGATACTGCTGTGTCTCGTCCAAGTCATCCTGGTGCACATAAACGGCCATGCTAATGGGACCACTCCAACGGACCAGCAGCTATGTCATATACTTGAGATCCCTATAGGTGCCGTGTGTGGTGAGGGTGACACTCGCATTTCCACTCAGCTCGCGACTCGACGAACGCATAAAGTTGTGATAGATCCAGTAATCACCAATCTGTTCCAGCTGCATACGAGGAAGCTCCAGGAAAGCCGGACCCCTTGTCTTCATGACTCGATTGAATTTCACAAACTGATAGCAAACAAGGTAGATGGTTAGGAGTACTACCAGAGCGCTGATAATGAGCTTCTGTGCGAGTCTTCGACGCCACAAGGGGGGTAGCATTTTGAAAGTACTTTCAAATGTATTGGTGTATGTGTTTGATTCGATGGAATTTAGTTGATAGCTTCAAATTTCAGGGATTGTTAAGGCAAAGCACAATATTCACTTTTTAATTAAAAATTCGCAGGCAACGAGCGAAAGGTGTCAGAGAATATAATTTGACACTTCAAGCTATAACTAATTACGTGCTTCAAAAACTGTTGCTGTCATGTTCATTGAATGATATTTAGAGAGAGAAATATTTTAACTCCGAAATTAATCTTCAAATGAGACGTAAAATGGTTTTTGTCAATCATGCACTCGACAGGCATTATAATTTTGGTTAATCTAAGTGCAACCTGCATTCGCGTTGCATGCCACTGTGTCATCAACGTGGGCCATAAATCAAGCGCTTACAATCTTTCCATTAGCCAAGCCGCCAGCCTTAAGCGCCCAAATAGCTGTCACATTTTATTTAAAACGCTTTGTGCTCGCAAGTGCATAGCAGACAAGGTAATTGTCGTTTTTGGCAGAGTTTTATCGCTGGTCCTTTGGTTGCTTCCCCTTGGCATACTTTGGTGTCATTTCCATTCGGCACAGGATTCTTGTAGTTGCACTCTATGCAAAGGTTCGCTTTGGCTGCGACATTGGCATCTTTTTAATTAGACCAATATGAGATGGTCACATAAATTGGCTAAGGAATTCTCTTGGCATTCAGTTGGTGGCCAGGGTTATTATGCTGCTAGCTGCTTGTACCCCAACATAGAAACCGTTTATGATTAACACTGGGCAAACATGCAATGCTCGCTGTCATTAGGGCTGCATGGCTCGTCAGTCCACCCCCTCCCCCACAGAATGGACTTGGGTTTGGGCATGCCCTTATGCTGGCAGGCTTTCCACACAATTTTCCGGCTGCCTGTCTGGTGAACATTTGTCATATTCACCACTGACAAGCGGAGCTATGCACATTGGCAAATAGTTTGCCTATATTTTCGCTGTTTCCTTTCTTTTTTCTTCTTCAGCTCGTTATGGATGTAGGTGTGAAATTATAAATTTGCTGAAAATTTATGAGCCTATTTCACAGTTACCACTAGGCAGCTAGTTATTGCTTTTTGCATGACAAGCAGGTGCCTGAATGGTTCTCAAATTGGGTTGCAAGCACGATTTAAAAAATTTGCTGTTTGTATTGAAATAGCATAATTGTTTTTAAAATATCACTTAAAAAAGGTTCTACTTATTAGTTTTCAAATACTATTTTATCATTTTAATGATCTCTTTTCAAATGTTCGTCAATACAATTTGAAAATGTCTCTGCTTCTATGACTATTGGAAACCAGTCTTCAAATACTATTTTGTCTTATTGAACAAAGCATAGAAAGGAAGTCTGGCAAATTTATTTGCTTGGAAATTGCGTAAAATTGAAATTTTCCCCCGCAGTTCAAACAAAGAATTTACGAGCAGTTGCCAACATTCCGTCTGTTAATTGTGAAAGTTATGAGGCAACTTTCAGGAGACAGGTGGCAGAAAAAATGTTGGTGCCCCAGGTGAGCCAGGAGCTGTAAAAAGCTGTGTGAAAAGTAGTGAGAGAATATAATTCATGAAATGCTTAAAATGTTAGTTATGCAAACAATGAAATGTTTTTATTAAAAGCAAAAATAGCACGGCCTGTTATTACATAAATGCTTCAGTTTGCTACACATTTAATTATGACTCTGAAATGTACGCATTTGTTCATCAGTTGACATTAGTTAGTTGGTCTAATTAATAGCCAGGCAAATGGCTTTTATCATACACAAATTTGTTTTCTCTCACGGTCATAATTGCCAGACAAAATGTATTTTGTGCGATATCCGTACACAAAACAATTCAATAAAAGCAGTTGTTTGAAAATGGCTTCGTTAATTTTACGAAAAATTACCATAAATTTAATGGAGCTCATTATCATTACTCTGAACACTTCGTTTACATTTATTGCCTAATTATTATGGCTCGCTTAACCACGCCAGAAATATTTAGGGAGTCTGCTTTTCAAGATGGGTGTTTTTGGATGAATAAAATATCATGGACGTTCTCTATATAATACAACTTTTTTGTCAAACCCAATCCTATTGTTTAGATATCATGTGGATGTTTATTGCTGTTCACAAGCAATTGAAGATAATTAATTAGCATACGCTGCTATGCAAACCACTTTTGATAGTCAAAGTGACACTTGACTTTGTGGACACCTCAAGACCACAGAAACGGCATAAACAACAGTGGGTAACTGGCAACAGCAACAAAGCCGACATAATTGGCCTGTTAGCTGTCCGAGCGGAAAAGTTTCACCTGCTCGACACGTAGACAACCGGCCCGAGACGAGCTTAATTAATTAATGCTCATTAACAAACTGAAACTGTAACTGTAACTCGTGAATGGACTTAGGACACAAATCAAACGTCAGATGCGTGCGTCCTTTCTGATTGCTCTCAAACAGGAGACAAGTGAGACAGAAACTGAGGCTGATTCGGGCAGTGAAATCTTTTTGAAACTCATTAGGTAACAGCCACCCCAGATCTAACAGAAATCAGACGTTGTTAATAATGGTTAATTACGTGTTTAATTATGCATGAGGACCGCTCACACCCGCTCGACTGCCTGTTCTTCTTGATCCTGCTGCCCAAGTCCGGTGCCGGTCCCCAGTTTACCCAAACGGAAGGAGACGCTCCAACTCTCGTTAATAAATTATGTAAATTGTAGGCGCAACAATCTTACTCTCTCTCTCTCTCTGTTTGACTCTCTCACTCTAAGAAATGAAAATTTATGCATAACACCCTCAATGAGCGAAGTTCTCAGAGGGGCTAATGGTTTGGCAAGTGTCTTAAGCTCAAGCGGAAGTCAAGTCAACGCAGTTATGACTGGCCCCTGCCTTTATTAAATTAAATGCAAATTAACATTCATTATTAAAATGCCCCAAATAAAGTGGATCCTGTTGTGGCAGTCATTTCAAGAGTCCTTGTTTTTGGTCTTCTTTTTCTATTTATGCATAGCAGATAATTTACAGATTTGTGCACATAGATACGCATTAGTGCTCCAAATTATTCTTCTTGTTATTATTGTTGATTTGGACAATCAGCACGTCTTTTTTCTTTTAAGTTTTTGACACTTTCCTGAACTATGTGACTACAAAAACAATGCTGACTAAATTGGCAAATATGAAACCTTTACTTTTTAACTGGCAACCAGTTGACCTTCAACTTTGTCGCCCACTTGCCCCCGATTAAGTTTTGGTTCAGCTTTTTCTTTTATCGTGGCCACAGCACCTTGGTAACAGTTTTGAATATGAGTTTGGGAACAAAAAGAAATATATGTATAAAATATACGTAAGCAAGAAACGCAAATAGTAATCAAAACTTCACAGTAAACGAAGTTTCTATTAAATTTTAATTAGAAAAGTTTTCAACTTAAATTTAACTTGCATAAAGCATTTTTTAACGGTTTGGCCGCCATAAAAATGAAATAAAAGTTTCCATTCAGAAAGTCTAAAAGAGAGAGAGAGTGAAACTAAGCAATGTGAAAGAATGGTTTTAAAAATCAAGATGAAATGGAAAGTGCAACGTCGGCAAGAATTTAAAGTTATTTAAACAATTTCAAGCTAAAAGCTGTAGTGGGCAAGGCTAATATGGAATCTGGCATTTTGAAAAGGGATGGAGAGCCGAGATTTATTGAAGAAGCAGGAAGGAAGGAATATTCATTTCATACATTTTAATTTAAATACGTTTTACATTGATATCGATACGAATGTGTATATATAAATTGCTTAAATTTGTTTTAATATAAATACTTTAAGCTGCAGTAAAATATCCCATTTTTGCATAGTTTAGAGGCATTCACAAAAATGTAGTTTCATATTCTCATGTATGGAATGATTATGAGTATGATTGTACATATTTCAATCGACTTAATATAAGTGTCGAATGAAGCACTGTAGTTTTTTTTTTTCTTCAATCAATGTGTAGCTTTTTCCATCAGTTTTACTGTACCAGCACAGTTTACAGTTGATTTACGCCTGGGCTAAGATGATCGCTGGCATCAACACCTCGTCAGACCTGTGGAACTCGTGCGACAGTCACCAGAGCATAGCTTTTACTTGTCTATGGACGATTGCGCTGCTGGCAGCTTAAACTGACGGAGCAGTAAAATTGCACTCAAAAAATTGACAATACATCGCCGGAATTGTAATTGTAGAGGGTGAATTGCAGGAAAGGGGAAGGGTCAGGCGCAGCTGTCCCCGGGCTCAACGTCAGCGATAACTGGCAATCGCCTGGCAAATTTCGACTTCCGTCCTCCGACGTCCGGCTCCTGGCTGTGATTTCTGGTGGCCAAATCAAATAACAAATGATTGTGCTATACTCGTGAGTTCCCCACTGTGAATCTCTGGCTGTGATTGGGCAGGGACTGATGAGTGCCAGCCACGCGAGAATATCGAATGAAAATCCATTGTTTTTTTTGACGACATCGAACGGATTTATTATGCAGCCAGCTGCAGTCAAATGTTTGCATTACGTATGTACAAAAAACAAATATGCGTACATTTGAGGGGTTCTTTTTGATATACGTTAATCTAAATTAAACTTATGCATAGTTGGGCTTATAAAATTTGATTGATATTAAAACAACTAAATTCCACAAGTGCGAAAATAATATAGTCTTTTGTTATTAATATTTCCTTAT